TGTATTCTCTACGAAGGAGATCTTGATGATATCTGCGTAAAATTGAGAAAGTTAGAAGGATTCCTACAATGATAATACAAAGTCTTGTAAGAACTTGTACGATATTGTGCTTACAGTTTTCGTATGATACTTATCATAATAAACTTATAAGATTTTCCTACCGATCGTGCATTAAGAATCTTATAAAATCTTACGACAAGAAAATGATAAGATTTCGTAGGATCGTAATGTGAAGTATTACAAATTCAAACTGTCGGACAGATCTTGAATTATCTTCACAAGATTTTTTCCACTTGAAAAGTCAACGTCACGCATATTTTCACAATCATTGTCTTCATTGGACGGAATTTATTTTTGATTTTAACATATAACAACTAATTTATGAGAATATAATACATGACATCAAAACACAAAATTGACAAAGAAATGAAGTATAATTAATATTAGATGATGCTGAAAACACTTATATGAAAGTCAAATAGTTTTCCATTCCCATTCTTTCTATCTATCTATAAAATCCATGCAGCAAATATAAGCACAGAAACTCAAAACACAATATTCATTTGTCCAGAAAACTAATATTATGATTAAGTCTGATGAACTCAACTGTTTATGATACGTGTACTTTCGAAGGATAGTATCTGACTCCTAATGTTGTTATCCGTGATGGAGAATAATGAATATCCGCAAACTATAGATATCTTGTTGCACATAATTAAAACGATGCAAATAATGAGGTTATTCTGACTTTATTGATACATGCATATCGACAAGAACATTATTCAAGTTCTTTTTCAAACCATGTAACTCAAAGAATATTCATTATTTACATATTCGCATACTTACTTGACAGCTTTTACTGTTGTTGCTCTTTTTGAAGGTATAAATTTTCTATTCTCCACCGTTTTATCAAATCAAGACCAAGTGATCCAAAACGACTCACTCTTGCAGACTGCGATCATCACTTGTATGCATTAATGAAAAAAAAGAAAAGAATCATACATTGATCTTTAACTATCTTCGTCTGATAAGTGTATATCAATGGTTTCCTTTAAGAAAAATGGTAAGAAATCTCGATGAATATACAAAAAAAAGAAAATAGCGAAGCAAGACAAACATATGACTTGATAACAGAGACGATGTAGACAAACACAATTTTCATAATGATATCTGCAAGGACACCGAACAAATAAGTTGGAATAAGGATATAACTGTGGCTGTTGGTGAGTTTCTACATTTATGAAGAGAAAATTCATACTCACACTTCCACTGGATCCTCACAATTATCTACTACTATTCGACTAATATCATATAATCGAAAATTCTGAGACAATAAAGTTCGTCAAAGCAATTTCTGTATTTATATATTAAAACTTTGAGATGAAAACACCAAACTTAGTAAATTAATACAACTGATACTAAAATATTTATGGCATCGTAAAGAATGCCTCACTGTCAGAGTTGATGATGTGAGTTTCCTTTTCATTTACATTCCATTCTATGTTTTTTCTTCTTCTACAAAACATCGACATTAGGATTGAGAAAATTTCAATTCGATTATATCAATCTTAAGTCGGTCTTTTTTCTTTGAAATTCTCATAATAACATGAATGATCGAAATTTCAACAATAGAACTTTCTCAAGCATATCAACATGGACTTTTACAGTTTCACTAATTATTGTTATTTGAAGAGATTTCTGTCAACTATAGTTATTATTTGCGATCAACAAGATATACTTTAGCAACATTGATCACAGTGTTTATATGTAATAGATAATATGAATTTCACTATATTGACATTTGCAATAGAATCCTAGTATATGACAAAGGTTATATCATAAACTAAAAATTTGTTCACAACAAAATTGAATTTTCGACGATTTATTTTAGTTCAGATTTACTAACTTAAGAGAACAATATATTTTCAAGGAAAACAATTGTTATTGTAGGTAAAGAAAAAATTTTTGTTCATTCAACAAGTACAAAGATTCATCAAGACATAAAACACTCAAAACTTTAAGTTTTAAAATGTATATTTGAATTTAATAAATAAAAATCTATATGATAATACTAATTCAAATTAAATCATATTTAAAATACTTTAAAACTATAAAAGATAATCATTCAATTTGACAAAATCTATGCATTTTTTTTTTGTCACTAAAATACATTTTCCTCAAGTTTCAGTTCTATTCATTTTGACTTTGAATAAATCAAACAATCATCATTACCCGTAGCTGCCATCTATGATCAAATACACGTTTTACCAAAATTGAATTACAACTGGTAGAACAAACAGCGACTCTCGTTCTCGTTTTAAAGGTAAATGAAATAAGAGTATATCACTATAATTTAAAGATACTCTACCTCTAATCATTGACTATTGATATATACCAGATGATAAATATATGTGATATTGTCTATACATTAAAATGAACTAAAATATATCATCATCTTTCTATTTCGAATAATTATCATGAATAAAACTAAAACATCTTCATTTTCATTAACGAGTATGCCTCGTTTGTATTTTATTTTATTATTATTAATCGTTGTTTTATTTATTTATTGGTATTTTTTATCTGATTCAATTTCTGAACAAATTTTTGCTGATATATCTCGTCTTCCACAATCATCTTTGTTTGTTTATCCAAATATTTCTTCACAAATACATTATAATGAAAGTCAAGGTATACTTTATGTACCACCTCATGATCAACCTTCTCATTTTGTTTCAATGAAAATCAATGCTATACGAGGCAATCATCGACATAAAGAAAATGAAAATAGTATTTCACATGAAGTAATTATTTTACTTCAAGGTCAATATCAATTTCGTATTGGCGATGGTGATACAAATAAATATGAAGATCATCAATATGATATATCTAAAATGGGTATTGTTGCACTTAAATTTTCAGCTGATAAATGTCATGCATTAAAAAATATTGGAAAACAAACAAATTGGTTTGCTAGTTATTATATTAAATCAAAAGATATTACAAAAGTATCTGTTGATAAACAAGGTTGTAAAAAAATGATATTAATTTAAATAAATTATCAATTAGTTTTATTGACTTTTGCTGGTAAAAATGATTCAATATCATATCGACCGAGTTGATAATCGACAGCTAATTGAACCTATTTATTAAATCAATAGAAAAGCATAAGTTAAGAAGATGAAAAATAAACTAAACATTTTTTGTTAGTTACATGTAATTGTGTTGAATCGAATAAAGGTATTTTAGGAAAATCACTTTGTTTAACAAGTTGAGGAATTTCTAAAAAACAATATTAAAAATAAAAATATATTCAAAAAATAAAATAATCATTTTTACCAGTACAACCAAGAATAATTCCTTCAACTTGTTGTTCATCATATAAACGTTGCATAGCATTTATATAAAATTTTTTTGATTCTTCAGTAAATATATTATTTGTTAGTTCATCAACAATTATTTGATGTAAACGTTCAATTTCATCTTCATGTGGAAATACAATGTTTAAATCATGTTGAATTAAACGTTCAACAACACAACTATTTGATATCATGGCAAATTTTGATCCGAAAAATCCGACCTAAATATAATTTAATAGATTTAAATATTTTATAAAACCTTATTTAATTCGTACTTTTTTAAACTTTTTTTGTTTAATTGAAAATGCCACAGCATCACTTATATGAAGGACAACAAGTTTAGGATAATATTCCATGATTCGTGGTACAGCAATATGACCTAAAACCACAGTTTGTTGATATAAAAAAAAAAAGAACTTCTAGAAAGTATTTACCAGTATTTGAACAAATAAGTAAGAAATCGATACCACTTTTTACTAATTGATGAACACCTTCAAGAAGAAATTCAGCTACTTCAGACCATTGATTTTTATTTAGTAAATCAATATATTGAAAAATATCAAGTGAAACAATATGTATACGACTACCATGACCGGGTAAAAATTTACCAATTAATTGATTCATTTGGTTATAATACTTTTTCAAAAACAAAATATTAAAAATGAATATTACATTCATAACTTACATCAACTGTTGAGACATAAGCTAAACCTCCTAAAAGACCACATACACGTTGTTTCACTTGTGTATCCATTTTTCATCTGTAAGCGTGTAAAAAAAAGATGCAAACAACGTTATCACTTTTTACTTTTATCAGATTATGAAGAATAGAAGAGCTTCGTCATAATATATCAACACATATTACTTATTTATGAATATATAAAATTCAAGATTTCAATTTTGAAACATGATCAAAGAAAATCTAATTACATATTCATATAAGCCAAGCAATAGATCCTAGTCTTAAATTCACAATAGGGTTTACTAGAGCCATTCATTATTTCGTTAGCACACAAAATAGGTTCTTTGAGAAAATTTTCATGCGTTAAACATCTGAAAACAGCGATATGGCCTTATATTTTCAGCTGCACAAACATGTTAAACGTAATAATAAAGTATATAAAAATGATTTAAAATAAATACTTTTTGATTAAATTCTGACTAGTACTCAGCAAATATTCGACATGCAAATGCATTAGCAATTTTTATGTTAATTCAATAGAAATCATTCGACTTATTAATAGATCTTCTGATTCAAATATATATTTCTACAAGTTCAATATGAAAATAAGAAGTAAGATTTAATTATTAATATGTTTGTCAACAAGTATGAAAACAGATTGTAAAAACAAGCCTAAAAATAATATCATAAAAAGAAATTGAAACGCCTAAAAAACAAAAAATAAATCTAAATTCATACATGAAAAGAACTATCGAAAAAATCCGTGTCAAAAGCACTTGATTGTTTTCCTTCATACTATTTCTTCATTAATATTCTCTTATGAAAATAAAAAAACAAGAATGAAAAAAAACGAATACTATTTATACAATAATACAAATAAAAACATTTTCATTTGCAACCTTCTTTTATCATTAACTAACGACACATTGCTTTTCTAACATAAACATATATTGAAATTCATGAAAGAAATATCAAGTTCTCCTATATCACAACAAGATCATGACTTTATTTGTCCAATTACACTGGATGTTTGTCGAGAACCTGTTCTTGCTTCAGATGGTTATGTTTATGAGCGAGCTGCTATTATTCAATGGATTGAACAACAAGGAACTAGTCCTTTAACACGTCTACCTTTGAATGTCAAAGATCTTCGTTCAAAAGATCATATTAAACAATTATGTCAATCTAATTCATTAATATATTCATGTGAAAATAGTATAGTATCAATATCATCTTTATCAATGACTCAATTAGAAGGACCTACTAACCGATCGATAGCTTGTAAACAATACTGCAATGTCAAACGTATACTGCTGATGACTATAGCTACTATTCTTATTATCAGTCCTCTCATAACTGCAACAATCGTGATATTATTTATTCTTCGATCTAATTCGATCTCTGAAAGTAAGATATGGTCTAATCAACAACATTTTTACAAAGAACAATGTTTCATTATATTTCTACAGCTTCACAGATATTTAAATAATCTTTTTTTTTTTTTTTAATTTCAATTTGACCTTAACTAAGGTCAAATCATATTAATCTGTAATGCATAAAATTATTTTTGAATTTAACATGTTGAATTGTAATATAGATCTTCTAAGAAAAACAAAATTTCATTAGTCTTTTAATTTTTTAAATTTATTTCTAGTTTCTACTTCTGTCGAATATCCTAATCATCATATTCATTCCTTGACAACTTATAAATTACCAAATAATTGCATTCTATCAAAGTTTGTTCTATTGTTCTCTTGGAATGATATAGAAAGTTTTAATTATACGTATTATTCGAAATTATATAAGGCTGTTTCTACACGAACAATTATAACTTTTGTTTTTCGACATAATCCATCCGATTGGTGTCTTGATGATGTGTCGGTTAAGGATATATCTTCAAACGTAGAACTTGTGACAAATGGACATTTCGAAAATAATCCACCGGATGGATTTATTCGCTGTAACTCATATGGATATAGTTCTATATCATCATTTTTAACTTCAACACATACCTACAATGGCAAACGTTCATTTTGTGATGGTTCTCTAGATCTACCTGATTGCCTTAGTCAAATACTTAATACAAAAATTGGACAACTATATCGTATAACATTTTGGCTACAAAATCTCGGTGATAAACCAAATAGTGCTCAAGTTGTAATTAGTAATTAATTAATTCTGATGATAATTGCTAGAAGAAAGATTCTTCATTTAATTAAATCATAGATAAATAATATGTGAAAAAAAATCTTCATGAATAAAATCCTACAAAGAGATTTCTCATATATGTCTATAGTTTTTTATGTAGTGTGTGTGACAAAAGAGTATAAAATACATGTTTAACAAATAAAACAACATATTCAAAACGAAAATGTGTGTTCATTGTATTGTCAATGCTTCAATAAATACGAAAGTTCTATATCTCTTTTGTTAACATTCCGCACAATTATCGTTTTCAAAACAGTATTAATAGTAATACGTTCAATAATCTACATAGATCGATAACATACTCAGAAAACAATTAAAACACATGTTGAAGCAATAATGTATATAACTAAGTATTATACATTAGTTTTAATCTGAGTTACTATTTTAACAATATTTGGTATTTATTTGTTTTTAACAAACGCTATTGTTGCAAGAGTACAAACTAAAGCCAAAAGAAAAACTCTCAATAATATACAAAGAACAAGCACATTTGTTATTTATCTTGTTCATGTGTATACAAATCTATATTGAATTTTACTCTTATTTTATAAGATTCTCCTTCATATGATGTAACACGTCAGCAATATTATCGAATTTGTATGAAACATTGTTAATTTCACACTTTACTAAGAGGTTGTTCATTTTTATACTTATTTCAATTTGGTGATGCTGAAGCTGACATTTATGGAGGTAGATGGTCTGGTAAAGGACAAATATTTCGAAAAATTCAACAAATAATTATAAGTAATGCTAAATGACAACTATTTTCATACACAAAAGTAAATATGACCTTTTTTTTATTGTCTCTCATAGCCTTCACAATTCATATAAGTTTTTCATGAACTTCAATACTACAACAATTCAATCGCATGTTTCAATGTTTCGTTTTGATGCCATTTCAACATATCTATTAGATAGCAGAACGACTGAAATAAATGCAGACGATTTGAAAAACATGAATTAGGAATAAATTCAATTTATTCAAGACGATGATAATCTACTCCTGATATTCAGAGCTAAAATATTACCAATAGGTCTTACTGGTCGAAGTCCTCGATTACATATTAAAAGTTCTGTGTCATCGGTTACCGAAGCACTACAGCATTAATTTCAATTACCAGTCAACAAAGTACAAGAATTGATTTCGAATCGAATTAATTTTACATAGAATTAAAACCGAACAATTCAAGCTCAAACAAAAGTAATTATTAGAATATCGGGTGTGGCTACGGGCGGAGACAGAAATCGACAGCCAAACCCACGTCCATACCTTACACTCACTCACACTCCAAATAGCTATCACATTCATTAATTTATCTTAGCACAAGAGTTTAAGATAAATGCATACACAAAAAAAAATCTTCTATTAAAAGAAATAAAGAACTCTAATGCATATGAATTCATCTATGATTTGAAGTAGAACATGTTTATCATAACAAGTGAAAGAAAAATAAATCTTCAAATAGTATTGCATCATATGTAAGAATCTGGTTATGAATTTTTTAGATATACAACATTTTCAACTCTTCTTTATAGGTCAAATAGTTTTTTTTCTATATTCATGATAAATATAATTTTTCATTTCGTCTTTGAGTATAAGTCTTGATGAATAATGTAATCTTATGAATAATTTGATTGTTTCGATATATTGCGACGATTTGTTCACGTCGACCTTTATGAAATACAACAATTGCTTTATCAATGATAATCAATCTGTCAACTGATCAATACAATTTTTTTTGCACAATTCTATTGCAAATAAAAACCAGACGCTATCAAATCGTATTAATATAAAATTGTTGAGTTCGATGACGTTACAACCGACTAGATCAAGATTACGAAGTCAATCGAATATTAAACCTTCGGGATCATTCAATTGATTAGGATAATCTTCTTGAAAGAGTCCACCAGCGATAATATCTCTGTATGATACACCATTGTACAAGTGCATCACTCGATTGTTCCAGTGGTTGGTTACGTAGACTGCAGACCTTGAAACGAGCTACTCGGTACAGGAAGATTTTTATTATGGGTCTGGCAGGTCTAAAGTTCTGTCGGGCCGCTCCATCTGAACTTTATTTCATGTTTGCAAGGAAGATTTCCCACGTAGTAAAAAAACAAAAACTGATTCTAATTGATTTACATGGTGATTGTCATAAAACGGTTTTTTTTCGAATTTTCAGTTAGAAACTGAAACTTCTGGTCGCTTTTTCTTGACTTCTCAACTCATCAAATCGTAAGTGTCACACCAGATTAGACTTTTATACACACATTAGGCGTTCAGATTGGATATCAATTAATACTGATTCATATAGGAAAAAATTTCGATAACTTAGATTAGAATCGATTATTTTTGTGAACCAGTATAAATTGAAAGGGTACTATTTGAATCCGATTCGAATCTGACTTGTCAGCTTTAAAGATAGATTTCATTTGATTTTAATCTTTCTTAATCAGTTTCTAAAAACCAATTTTATTCAATCAGGCTTTATTAATTAATTAAAAATCAATTAAAAACTATTTTTAATACAAGAAATAATTGATTTAGGCAATAAATCACCACAAATCGTGTATTCNATTTTTGTGAACCAGTATAAATTGAAAGGGTACTATTTGAATCCGATTCGAATCTGAATTGTCAGCTTTAAAGATAGATTTCATTTGATTTTAATCTTTCTTAATCAGTTTCTAAAAACCAATTTTATTCAATCAGGCTTTATTAATTAATTAAAAATCAATTAAAAACTATTTTTAATACAAGAAATAATTGATTTAGGCAATAAATCACAACAAATCATTTATTCAGTTCGATAGCACTTTTCATCCACACACAAAGCCGAGTGAACTATCAACTGCATTAACCGGCACGAGCACTACTGGAGTGGTACAATGTTAACTGTATACTGAAATTAATAGTGTAACTAGAAATAATAATCAATCTGACTCTTTGAAATTTATCAGTAGGCATTTTACTTGTGCGAGGATCTTGCTAATAAATGATAGTATTCCAGAAATTGAAGTACCAACGAACGCATCTTACTCTTTCCAGTTCAATAAGTAATTCGACTTTTCTCTCAGACTTTTTTGTCAAGCTTTAAAATTGTCTAACCTTATTCAACCCGTGATCATCATGATAATTTAATAAGCCTTTTACAATGACTTGATAAATTACTCCAGTGATCATTGAGTTTCATCATGTAAAAATCTTCTTTTTTTTGTAAAAAAAATATAATTATAATAGTGTCATTCTGAGTCAGGTTTGGAAGGGTGGGCATGAGCGATTCTTGGTCCGGTATGGGTCGGGTCGGATCATCAAAAAGAGGTCCGGCTTCGAGAACTGTGTCCAATCTTCACATTATTGTCTTCAGAGATTTGCAAGGTCATTGTCAATCCAGCCAAAGGAATCGCACATGCCGTGACGAATGACATGTCATTAGATTTGTGGCTAATGAAATGAGTTGGTCTACGCACATATTCTGTGAATCAATTACAAAACAGAGCGATTAATCCACATACTGTGTCTTCAGCTATGTATATATCAACAGTCGGAACGACTTTCTATCACCACACCACGGAAAACAATACCATATACTGAACCTTCAACAAATCATTTGCTTCACAAAATGCAAGCAGACTCAGGCAGCTCCTCTTCGTAAAGAATGTTTACATCTACTGAGATTATGTCCATAAAATATATGCAGTATAATATATATTGATGACCGGCTATCTCGTTATAAGGACTCGAAAGACTAGAGATCAACCAGTGCAGTTAGCACACAAACGATCAATCTAAGTGTGAAAATAAAATTGATTACATGAAATCAAAGCTGACACTTTTTGGTCGAAGTCTTTATATAGAGAACAGCTCGCAATGGCGGGAAGAATGTTAGCCAAGCAACTAATTACATAATTAACTTGTCTTTCATTGGGCTTCTCATCTCCATCGTCATAAAGAATCATGTTGATTGAGTGATCATGACTGGTAATGATCAGAAAAAAAGCTAGACCACTTCTTGTATAATATTTTGAGGGTCAATCTAAGAGATCTCAGATAATGCGGGTGGAGCAACTTTTTTTCTATAGAAGAAATACAGGATAAGCTAAATGATAGACAGGAAAAAAATATTCACATTTAACTAGTAACTGATTTCGTAGCTTCAAGAAAAGGTGGTTGTAAGAGAACTTGAAATAATTATGAGACATTTCTTAGTAGTAATCCTATATAAAAGACAAAATCTTTCGATTACTAGAAGACTATTTTATTCACAATACTGTCATGATTTATTTTCAAAGCAGATGAAGACAGCTTATCTACAAAAATTTTCTGTCAAAACAACGGTCAACATCCGAAGAAAAACTTCAAATCGTACCATCTAAGAGATTTCCAGAGGTCAATGTAGAAAATAGGGTTTGGGTGGAAATTGTTGGTGTGACCGCAACTATAAACTTTGGGCGTCACAGTGAGGGTAGATGAAAGTGAAGACATGACCAACATTCATATATTCCCTCGAGATCCTCACTGCACACACACACACTCAATTCAAAAACCGATGATGTTTGAAATATTCATCAAACAAAATGGAATGGTTTTAAAGATATCATCAATCAATCAACTATATTTATTTACTAGCCAAAAATCAAGAAATATCATTGCTCATTTCCATTCAATTGTATAAAGCTATTTTAATTAAAATATTGTTAATATTAATCAATATAGATCAGAAAATCTTGTCAACCACATTTATGACAAAAATGATATGTAGAGATACAAAACAAGATTCACTGGTTTTTATGGTTTTCAAATTTAAGGGATAGGTCAATTAAGGGTCGTCTTTAGTTCCCTATGTTCACGACTTACATGATGCAAACTTCTATAATGAATCGTTGTATAACTAATTAAAGCTATTTCTGAGAGATTGAGACTTCTTTTTGTTGGAACTGGTGAGTCATAGAAACTTCTCTAT